CGCCCAGGGCCGGGCCGGGACCCAGACGCCGGCCGGCGCCCCCTCCGCGGAGTCGGCGGGGTAACCGCTGAGACGGAAGGCGAGCCGGCGCTCGGAGACACCGGAGAGGCAAGGAGGCCCTGCGGGGCCCCACCGGCCCCTTACCTTCATGGCCGCGACCGCCTCCACTCGGTCGGCTCTGCCCGGAGACTCAGCACCATAGCAGCTCTTCAACAGCCGCCCTCCTTCCTTCTCCGCGGCGACTACGGCGCCTCCCGAGGCCACCGAGCGTCCGGACGTCAGAGGCGTGGTCACGCTCGCCGCGCGCCCCCGGAAGAAGGCCGAGCGGCAGCAGAGCCGACCAATCTGGAGCCGGCAGTCGGGGCCCGGGTAGCAGAACCAATGAAATTGCGGTAATGGGGCGGGGCCTCCAGCGCCGCCGGGTGGGCCCGGGAGGACTGTTAGGTTCGGGGCGGTGATGCGCGGGTCTGGGCGTGACGTGAGGCCCCTTCCCGAGCGGCCTCTCGCAGCGTGGAGGTCACAGCGGGGGGCCGCGGTGCCCTAGGAACCTGCTGCGGCGGCGAATTGGCTGTGAGGGCCGGGGTCTGCTTCCCCGGGGCGGGCAGGGCTTGCAGGGTCGCGGTGAGTTTGAACAGGGGCTTGGTCCGCAAGCTTTTGCTACCGGCGCTCGGAGCAGCGCCTGTTTCCCTCCCGAAACGCGCGCCGCCCCCTCGGCGGGGACCAGGGACACAGGAGAAGCGAGACGGTCAGTTAGGGTCTGGGTTTCTTCAGCTGCACTGGATCGAGGCCCTTAAGTGGATTTCTTTTTCTTGCTTCTAACAACCCATATTGGAAATTTTACGTATGAAGTTGTCAGTGCGCACGTTACGAAGACCCCGAACTGGCCTGTCTTTTTTCTGTAGATCTGCTTACATGGGCTGTGTGTCAGACTCAGACCCAGCAAGCCCCTTCCTTAGGCTGAAATAACCCGTCAGCTTACTTCATTTTTCTTGCTGCGAGTTCTGCTTAAAGTAACTTTTTATCCAGGGTAAGCCTGAGTGTCGTTCTTTGACAGAATTCCCAGAAAGCCTTTGCACCGTGTCGGCGCCACTGGGCTTCATCGCGAGAGGATTCTTCAACAATCTAGACACAAATTCAGGAGAAACTTGCTGCTGATACAAACCCATAGTTCTCCCTTAGTAGGCCTCAAGAGGTAATAGATAAGCCCATGAAAAGATGCTTCACGTCATTAGCCATCAGGAAAATGCAAGCCGAAACCACTACAACCTACTAAGATGACTACAGTACACAAATAAAAAGATGTCTTGCTGAGGGTGTGAAGAATCTGAAAAACCACAAGGCACGTTCCGCCATGGTGGCGTGGTGGTGGTACATTAGTGACATGTTAGTGTCGGCACATCTGTAATAGTAGCTCTTGGGAGGCTGAGGCAGGATGATGGGCAGGAGTTGGAGACCAGCCTGGGATCCATGGTGAGTTGCAGGCCTGCCCGACCAGACCCGTGACAAGGTTCTGCTCCGAAATATATATGAAGTAATATGCCCACACAGAAACTTGCATGCTGCCACGCTTGGTGGCGCACGCTTGTAATGCCAGCACTCAGGAGCCTCATTGCCAGTGTGAGGCCAGCCTGGGCTACAAAGTGAGCTCAAGTCCAGCCTGAACTGCAGAGCCAGACCTTATCTCAAAAAGACAAAAAAAAAGAAAAAGAAACTTCCGTGCTAATGTTCTTATGATGATACATTCCCCTTGCATTATCATGCATAATAGCTAGACGGGGAAACAACCCAAATGTTCATTGTCTAATGAACAAAGAAACAAAATGCGCATCCCACCCACGCAGTGGGATATTATTTGGCCAGAAAAGGAACACAAGACTGACCCAGGCTACATGGGGTTGAATCTTGAAAACATCGTGCTAAGTGAGGGAAACCAGACCCACGGGTCACATACTGTGTGATTCCAGTTACATGAAAGATCCACAGCAGGAGAATGCAAGGAGACAGAAGGGAGAGTAGAAGCTGCTAGAGCCGGAGAGAGCCTGAGAGCGTGGAGTGGCCGCTGATGACGGTGTGGTTTCTTTTTGCCAAGAGGTGCTGGCAGGCCTGTTTTTCTGGTGCTGGGGGTTGAACCCAGGGCATTGCACACGCGCTGTACCACTGAGCTACATACTCAGCTCCATTTCCTTCCTTTCTTTCTATGTTTCAGATAGTTTAAATTGAAGTGCGAATGCTTTTAATTGAATTCTTTCAATAAGAATCAGAATACTATTTTTTCGATTCTGTTTATAACAGTGGAAGAGTTTTTAGTGTTTTTATTCTAGTCAGCTAAGTTATAGGCAGGCAGTCACAGTCAGGCCCTCGGAAAAGGTCAGTGCAGGAGACAGCTGTGGCTGGAGGGGCATTCACTGAAGGCCAGGCCTCTGGAGAGAGGAAATGACTGCACCCACAAGCTTTCCTGGGGATGCAGAGATTGATACTCTAAACAGGCATCCATCACTTCAGGTGGAGACCAAAACCTGCCTTCCAGGAAAAGTCCCTATTCAGTCCAAGTATACTTGCTACTTGCCTTGCTTCCCCATTTGACCCCCATTTAATCCATATTACCTGCAATTATACTCCTAATCTTATTGGTTGACCATAGCTCTGTGCCACCTTGTGATTTCCCACTGGATCGACGTTACCCAAGTAATCAACTTGTAATCTTATTAGTTGACTATAGTTTTGTCCCACCTGAGACCCACCTCACCTCGTGGTTTTGTTGTGTAAAACTCTCCTGAGAAGTGGAGTCCCCAGCAACCCATTCGGGACCCCTTCTGTCTCTCTTAGAAGCTTTCTTTCCCCCAATAAATATTTTCTGCTCTTAACCTCCTCTGTTTCTTAAAGTTGATTCTTAGATTTTGGGGAACACAAACTCAATGTATTGGACATCTACCCAGTTGGGAGTTATATTTCCCTTGTATTATTTGGAGATCCTAAATCATCCCTGTATCATTTTGCCAAAAACATTTTAAAGATACAGAAAAGTCATAATTTTTATCCATAAGCTGAGACTGCTTTGCCCAGTTGCCTGCATAGTCATTTTTACAGGTGTTTTTGTTTTTGTTTCTGTTTTGTCTTTTTGAGAGAGGGTCTCACTATGCAGTTCAGGCTGGTATTGAACTCAGGTAGGCCAGGCTGGCCTTGAACTCACAACAATGGTTGTGCCTCAGCCTGCTGAGTGCTGGGACTACAGGCATGGGCCACCCTGCCTGGCGTTTACAGTATTTTTTAAACAGTCAAGAACAAGTTCAGTTTGTTTCAGGAAGACAACAGTGGCTGAGAAGGGTGGCTTAGAAAAATCAATCAGCTCATCCACTATCCTAATGGATGAACAAATCCAACAGGACCATCTCAGAGATTTAAGAAGCAAAATCTGCCCCCCTCCTGCACACACACACACACACACACACACACACCCCCGGTACTGGGAATCAAACTCATGACCTTGCATTTGCCAGGCAGGTGCTGTGCCGCTGAGCTAAATCCCCAGCCCCCAAGAAGCAAAACCTTTAAAAAAAAAAATACAATACCAATTCAACAGTTGATCTCAGCCAAAAGGCAAAGAAGTGATACTGATATAGGGGTGTCTTGGTTACTTTTCTCTCATTGCTGAGACAAAATATCTGACACCCAAAATTAAGGAAGGAAAGGTTTATTTAGCTCATAGTTGGTGGAAGTTTCAGTCCATACTCAGCTGGCTCCAAGACAGGGTGGCACATGGCACAGGGCAACTGTTCATGACCGCAGAACACAGGAAAAGCAACAAGGGCAAAAGGGAGGAGTGGCAGAGAAAGCAAGCCTCCTTCCCTCCCTTATAGTGTAAGCAGGCTACCCCCACTCAAGGGGAGCACTCACATGATCTCCTTGCCTTCCTCTTGCACAGGCTCAGGATGAATACAAAGTAAGCACCCTGACTCCCTGCTGAGTCACGTAGTTAACCTTCTAAACTCCTCAAATTATCCCAGCACTGGGGAGGCTGTTGCAGAAAGATCACTGCAAGTTGGAGACCAGCTTGGGCTACAAAGTGAGCTCAAGGGCAGGCTGAACTGCATATCAAGACGCTGTCTCAAAAAGACAAAAAAATAAATAAATAAATAAAAAGAAACATAAAAATAAACTCCTCAAATTGACACAATGAACAACATCCCAGAAGGGTAAGGGCAGGTGCTTTTCACCCCAAGATGCAGGACTGGTGAGTCACTTAGCCAAACCTCTAGACTCCCCAAGTTGACGCAATGTATCAACCGTAACAAGGGGAAAGAAACTCCCAACCTCAAGGATATCTGGGACCAGTTAGTGTTCTCTAAAACCGAAGAATGAATTTTAGGAACAACGGAGATTAAGAGCAGAATATATTTAATGAGGGAAAGAAAGCTTCTGCGTGAGAGAGAGTCAGAAGAGGGGCCCAAGTGAATATCTTTCTATAGAGCAAATCCACCAGGTGAGGTGGTCCAAGGTAGGGAAAAAATGGGAAATCACAAGGTGGGCATGAGGTGAGACAAAACTATGGTCAGCCTATAAGGATTGTTCAGGTAAAACTGATTAAATCGGGATCAAATGGGGAAGCGAGTCACATAGCAAATGGACATGAATACAGAAGGGGGTGGGTCAGTGACTCTTCAAGGTGATCACTTCCTATTTAGAATACCAGCCCTGAAGTCTGTGGCCAGGGAGGTATGTGGGTGTGTGTATTTAATCTTTTGTCTTGCAATCTGGCCTGTAGAAGTACCACCTCTCCATTTGTAAGAAGGTATCTCGTCTTCCATACTGGTTCCTTCCAGGGCCTGGCCCTGTCTGACTGCCTATAGTATTTCTGTCTAACTCAGCTGCCTGTAACAATACAATGCCAATTTCTATAATCTGATAAAGAAACAAAGGCTAAAAATAGGAAGCACAAAATACATAGTAGAAATAAATCCAGATGTATAATTCATCATACTAAATATAAATGGATAAACAAAAACATCCTTTTATAAAAGAATGTCATTTCATTCTTTTAAATAGAGGCATAGTGGAACATAGGATGTAGATAAAAATCATAAAGAGAGTTACTATGTAACTATAAAAGATCTAACTCTCTACGTTGAATTTCTTGGGGAATGATTTTTCTTTAAAGTTCAAACATTATCTATGGGAATGTTGCCCAATTCTGTGACTATACTAAAAAGTATTGAACTGTACAATTTAAATGAGTAAATTATATGCTATGTGAATTACACCTCAAGAAAGTTGCTACAATAATATTGAGTAACACACAAAAGCTGTATTTTTGTTTTGTTTTGTCCCTGGCAATGATCCCAGGTTTTCAACTTGCTAAATAAGTTCTCTACCTCTGAGCTACCCTCTGC